GGCGTTTGTCCTCGATGCAACAATGCTCTACTTTTCTTTGTACACACAGCTGATTCGTGACGTGAATTTCGCAACGGTATCGACAACGTGGCCGAATAGCCAGCCCATGTGTTCGATGTGCACGTGCTAACCGACTGACTGCTCGGGTTTTTCGTAGAGGAACGTTCCTCTCCGCAGCTTAGCCAGACGAATTTTCTGCGAACGTCTCGTTCTCACCATCGCGTGCGTTTCCGCGAACAGTGATGTTGTCGATCCATGGCGCTTTATTTCTTTTGTTAGCGTTCCTCCTCATTGTTACAATAAACGTTTGTCCCGTGAGTTTATTCGCGTCCGAGTGATTCTCCTCTTTTGACCCTCATTCGCAACATAGTTGGTCCTTCGAGCCGGATTTTCTTTCGCGTTGCTTGCGCGCCGGCATTCTTCTAAAGGTAGCGAGTGCGGGGGTCAGCCACTGCGTGCACAGTGTTAACCTCGGGCAACGATGGAGGCGTTGATCACCGCGCAAGCTGAATTGAGTGGGCGCATTGCTCGCACCCACGATAATCTCCGTAAGGTTGGAGCCGCTAGACTTACGAAGTCTTTGATGCAGACGACGCTTAGCCTTCTCGACAAGAAGTGGGAGGAGTTCGAGGACCAGTACGACCAACTGCGTAATCGGTACCCATGCCGAGCTCCAGGCTCACGATTACTCCAGATCGAATGTCCTCGGGCAGGTGGAGGATACCTACTTGCAGCAGCGAGCTCTGCTGCTCGATATGCTGCAGTCGCAGGCGCCGAAGAAGTCGGAATCGGACGTCGCTCCGAGCTTGTCCGAGAGTTAGAACTCTCGCGCATCGTTGCCGCGGATACAAATGCCACAATTCTCTGGCAAGTATCTGGACTGGCCAGCGTTCAGAGATCTGTTTCACTCCGTGGTAGTGTCGAATGGAGCTGTGAGTGATGTCGAGAAGCTGCATTATCTCAAAACGTGCGTGAGAGGTGATGCGGAGCAGCTGATTAAGAATCTGGCTATCACGAGTGACAACTTCAATCGAGCATGGGCTGTGCTGACTCGTCACTACGAGAATACTCGCGTGCTTGTGTCTGCGTTCTTCAACTCATTCCTCGCCATTCCGAAGATGAAGTCCGACTCCGTTGCAGACTTGCGGAGAATTTTTCACGGGATGTTGAGCACCGTTGGTTCGTTGGAGGGAGTCAGACGGCCGATCTGCAGCTGTGCACCGACCTCTTGATCCACCTGGTGGTGGAGCTTCTGGATGGCCGAACTCGACGCGAGTGGGAGAACCATGTCGGGGTTCTTCGACTCCACCTGCATACGATGAGCTCTTCAAGTTTATGGAGCGCAAGATGCGAGCTCTGGAGGCGCTGTCTGCCGGCAGGTCCGAGCACGGATCTGCGAGACAGGAGGGCGCGGGTGCTTCACGCGAAACCCCAGGAGTCGGTTCGCGGGCGCTGTTCCCTGTGTGTCCAAAACAACACTACGTGCTATTTTGTGAAAGATACAAATCGCGATCGGCCTCGGAGCGTAGAGATGTCGTGGACAAGTACGGCCTGTGCCTGAATTGCTTAGGCCGACACGCTCTCAACTCGTGCACTTCTGCCAAAACGTGCGTGCATTGCTCGGAGCGTCACCACAGTTCGCTGCACGAGGCATGCCGCCCAGCGAGAGCGGGATGCGTCGAGGGAGGGTCCAGTGCAACGGTTCACGTCGCGCGGGGTCCGCTCCGGGAGCTTGACGGGCGGTTGCTTGCTACCGCGCGTGTTTAAAGTGGTGGATCATCTCGGAGCCCATCAACTTGCTCGTGTGCTTCTCGACTCAGGCTGCGAAACCTCCTTGGTGAGCGAGGCCCTCGCTCAGTGTCTGCGACTGCCGCGGAGGCCCGCATCTCTCAACATAGTCGGTATTGGAGGCGTGCGTTCCGGAGCGGCGCGCGGAAGCATCGACGTGACCTTGCTCACTCGCGGGGGGAGGGGCGCCCGTGATGACGGTCGAGGCGTACATCCTGCCAAGGCTCACCTCTTACGGGCAGAGATACAGTGTCTCCGGGCGGTCTTGGCCCCATCTCCGCAACCTTGATCTGGCGGATCCGGACTTCTTGAGGCAGGGCACGGTGGACCTCATTCTGAGAGCGGAGGCATTCTCCTTTCTGGTGCAGGATGGTGTGCAGAAGGGCGAGCCAGGCGAGCCCATCGCGCTCCGGACGCTGCTGGGCTGGGTGAGAGCTCCGGCGAGGCGCCCTGCTCCTCGGTGTCTGCCTTGCAGAGCTCCATGGACGAGGAGTTGTCGGCGGTCATGCGCCGTTTCTGGGAGCAGGAGGAAGCTCCTCATGGTCCAACGTCTTTCTCACGATCGAGGAGTCGAAATGCCTGGACCACTTCAGGGACACACACTCTCGACAGTCTGACGGAAGGTACATCGTGCGCTTGCCTCTCGCGTCAGCGCTGCCGAATTTGTCCGACACACGTCTCGTATGTGGGATTCATGCGGGAGTTCGAGACGCTCGGGCACATGTCTCGGTCATCTCATCAAACGAGCGCGTGGCTGAGGATCGACTGTGTGCTACCTGCCTCACCACGGAGTTTTACGCAAGGCGACAAACAAACTACGCGTCGTGTTTAACAGGGTCTCAGCACACTCGCGACGGACACTCGTTAAATGGCACGCTCATGATCGGCCCGAATTTGCTCCCGCGGCTCGCGGACATTTTGCTTGCGTGACGCTGACATCGGTTCGTGTTCGCGGCCGACGTGGAGAAGATGTATCGCCAGATTTTGGTGCATCCGGACGACCGCGACTTGCAGTGCATCCTGTGGCGATCGACGAGCGACCTGCGAGAGTTCCGCCTCAATATGGTGACGTATGGCCTCGCGTCCGCGCCTTTTCTCGCGGTCCGCACTCTTCAGCAGCTGGCCGTTGACGAGGGAGACCGCTTTCCGCTGGGTGCGTCCGTTCTGCATAAGGATGTTTATGTAGACGACATCCTGACCGAGGCATCCTCCAGGACGGAGGCTATGCTGGTGCGAGACCAATTGGAGGGAATCTGCCGCGCGGGTGGCTTCCCTTTGAAGAAGTGGGCGGCCAACGACGACCGACTGCCGGAGGGCATTCCTGACGAATATCGTACCGCCGGGGGACCGCTTACGCTGCAGGAGCTCGATGCGACTCACAAGGGACATTCGGCAACGCGGAAATTCAAAAAAATCTGAAACTCTGCATAATTGTAGAGCAGATATACCTAATAACAAAACAATTTTTCGTTGGTGCCCAGAAACGGTTTTAAGGGTGGAAACAACCCCTTGAACAAAGTTGATTTTTGTCTTTCTAAGCGAATATTATCGAAACTATTAAAGATATGAAAAAATGTTTTAAACAAAAGTTTTATGGTTTTAAAAGTACTTTATTATGCTATATTTAGATTTTTTAAAAATGTAAAATTGTGTATAAAATACCTCCCCTCCTTCTCTTTTTTCAAATTGTTAAAATCAATTGTCCAACCAAAATAAAGCTTATTTTATGACAAATTCAACCATATATAATAACATTATGTTTGGAAAAGGCAATATTGAAAAAAAAATTAAAAATGCTCTTATATATATGCTACGCGTACCAAACTTATGGGTTCGCTGCTTGACGATGGCATTTCTTTCTCCCTCATAATTACTGACTGTAAAAGGTAAGGAAGGAATAAAAACAGGTAATCTAAGAAAAGAATAAAGTTGATGTTAAGAAGTAAGTTGAAGAAGAACAGCATGATAAGGAGGACGCAGAGAGAGTGTATATAACCCTAATATAGATAATCTTTTAAATTCAATTGTAAAGAACAAATAAGGAAATGAATGATATGAAGAAAAAAGGAGAACACACACGAATTTAATAATGAAAAATATAATTTATAAATTTATTCAGTGTACATTTGTGTGTATGTGTTTTGCTTCATTCAGTATATAGGTTTTATTAATTAAGTAGTCGATATAGATATTCGAGTGAAAGATATCTTATATTTTGGCATGGATTATAATATATACAAATTTTACAGGAATTGAGGACAATAAAATATTATTTATTCTATATAATTATTACAATAATGATATTGCTCAAAGAAATGTTCAAAACAAAAATATTGCTTGCACCATGCACAATGTATAAAAGCCATTTTACCACAAATGCTACATTTTGGTATACGTTTTTCTTCTTTAAAATAACAATAATCGATTGGATTATGAAATTTTTCAGGCCGTGTTGATAAATAACCACTTTTATACCAGCTATATCTAAATAAATTTCGAAATCTTGGAGAAGACAGTTGATTGTGTGTTAAAGATTGCAATTTTATTATGTTATTACGTAAATGTAAATTTATGTCATAATTATTTATAATAACACTATCAGAAAAGCTTCGAACAAAATTTTTCCAGATTCTGAAACCAAAAACATCTAATGGCTGTATAAAAGCAGTTGTTTTTTTTGGTATTGTTAGAATATTTACATGTTTGTCTTTTGGTACAAGTTCTTCCAATTGGTTCGGGCAATGTCCTGTCCATGAATCAAGCAGTAGTATACTTTTCTCTCCAGTGTTTGGTAGATACACTTCTTGGAACCAATTTTTGAAATGTTCAGTTGTCAATTTCCCTGATTTTGAAGCCGCAATGTAAATATTCACTGGTCTAAAAAGAGTTTGTTCTACTTGTGGTCCAAAAACACCAGTAGATTCTTTTAATACTATATACAAAGGCGAAAGAAGATGTCCATCTGCAGATATAATAGGCATAATGGTGTAGCTATGAGTCATAGCAGATAAAGATTGGATAGTAGCTCCAACTGTCTTCACTCCTACATTAGCTAATGTTCTTCCTGCATGTATTTCTAAATTAAAGCCACTTTCGTCCGCATTATAAGTTGATTCAGCACCGATTACATTAATATGTGGCTTTACTGTATTTACAAATTCCTCAGCGTTTTGACGTATAGTTAGATCAGTTAAATGAGAAGACCGCGTTTTAAATGCAGTTATTTTACGTGATGTAATACGATGTGCCTTTTTAAAATTCCATATCCACCAATTTCCTGCTTTAAATGAAGAAAAATCCACTTGTTCCTTTGCTTCTAGTGCCCATTTTCGCAGATTTATATCATGAATAATAAGTCCTCTATTAACAGCTTCTTGGAATTTTATAAGAACATATTCAGCAATAACTACAAATTTGTCTGTATTTGAACCCCCACGCATTACATGTTCTTGCCATCTGTGCAATTGTTGAATAGATTTTACCTAGAAGAAAACAAATCTCAATATTAAACAATTCGAATTCAAAAATAAAAGAAGTTATATACGAATTAAATGTTCACGAAACATCAAATTGTAGAACTTAAAATAAAAAACAACGCGACTCTAACTATATAATTTACAGCTTTGGTCATAAGTATAAAGCATCTCTAACTCATTGTATTTTCCTAGAAATCAATGCATATACTCATAGTAAATATATAATCTCTTTACAATAAATATTATATTAATATTTTATAACATAATGTGTATATTATATTTATGTATATTATATTTATATTATAATTTATATTATATTAATATTATATTATATTACAATAAATATTGTAAAATAAATATTATTTTCCACATATTCTTATATTATATTTTTTTATTATATTATTTTTCCATATACTCGTATACTATATTATGTTCTCCATATATTCATATAGTATGTTTTTGTTACACAATTTAAATAAATTTTTTGGGATGCTTTATACTTATAGTCAAAGCTGTATGTACAATGACCGACAATGATGCGTTCCGCGAGAGGGGAAATAGAGTTCTCTCTGTCGCGGAACGAATCACTGCCGGTCACTGTACACCGTAAAAGCCTCAAGTATTTTACTATATATTATTCTTCTTATTTTTTAATTAAATTTTACTTTTCTAAAACGATGTTGTACAGAAGTAAGAGATAAATGTCCTTTCTTTCCACTCTTCCAAAATTCGATTGCCTTTTTCTTATAATTTAAGTTTACATTTCCACCTTCATCATCCACAGTGCAAACTTCATTTCCATAATTATCTTCTTCAGCATCAATATCGTACACATCTACAAATTGTACGTCATGCGGTTCTGATGGATCGTCAAAATCAAGTCCCCACTCATGTTCGATCGTAATATCGTGATGTATAGCACTCTTTATTAAATCAGTAATTGTATCATGGAGTTCCACCTCTTGATG